ATTTTAAATATAATTCATATTTCAGAATTATTTTTATTAAAGCAGAATGCTTATCGCGCCAATACTTTTGTCATCCAACGATGATTTGCAAATTATTAAAATACTATTCTTATTCTATCATTCTATCATTCATCGGACATAGAAAATAATCCTCTTACGATTATTTATAGAATATTATCCTCAAAAGAACGTCTCTTGGATTATTTCATAATCTTTCGTACGTAACACTTGTTAAAAATGATCGATTAAGCAGTCCGTCGCTATTATACTTTTCGATTCATTCGTTGCATGAAACCATTGTATGAAATTATAATTATAAACGTCGAAATTTTATTTAATATTTTTATTATATCATACAACTTCAATGTTTCTTTCAATGTTCTAATTCATTATATTCCTAATACACTCAATGCTCTCTTTGATTCGATTTTTCACGGATTAGCATTATACATATATTTCAATATATTATTTAAAAAAATTCTCAAATAGAATAAATTTCGAATAAATTTACATTTAAAATATCATTCTTCTAAATCAACTTAATATTCGTCCAATTCGTACAACGATGATTATATTTCATATTTTCTATGAAACGTCAATCTAATACATTCATTACACTTTCTGTTGAACAACAAATAGCGAATATCCATAAAAATACTTTTATCACATTTTTTACTCTCATCTCTAATCGTATAATTTTTACATAACAAATCGAATATTTATTATGAGTCACAATAATAAAGAATCTCTCTCCATCTTCGACTCTCCCCTTCGAAACTACTACTCTCCTCGAGATCGTCACGTTTATCATATCGTTTCGTACATCCTGCCTGTCTTAATTACCATCCTTCCCTCGTTTATCCAACCATACTTTACCCTCGAGAGATTAATTCCTCATACAAAACGTTTAATGAAATTCCTAAACACAGGGGTGAAACGGCATGATCCTGGCGTAACCGTTGCGCATTGCAGCAACCCCACTACGAAGCCACTCCAAGCTGCATGTAGCTAATGCAGCAGCTGGCATGCAGTGCAGTTACAATTCCGCGAAGCAAGCTTCTTTGATTGCAGCCCGCACCGAGGACACTTAATTGCGAGCTGCGTTCCTTTTTTATCTTTTGCCTCAATTTTCTTCTTTTTTTTCGCCCCTTTTTCCCTCCCCCTCTTTTTTTTTTTTACCTCTCTTCTCTTTTCGGGACCGAAAGTACTTTTTACGTTACTATAAACGAGAGGATGAGAACGTGTTTCTTCTCGTGTTGGTCGTTTTGTCGTGGAAAACTTGTGATGGCAAAGAGCGAGTCTCTGGTTGATAAAAAGACGCACTTTTTTTGGAATACGAGTTGTTTGACAAATTAACGAATAAAGGATCCGTGATTTTTGGAAAATTAGATATACTTGGACGGTGTTTTAAAATTTCTCGATGAATCGTTCGAGATATAATTATTGAAATTGAACGTTGTAAAGAAAGAAAGAAAGAAAGAAAAAAAAAGGAAAAACAGAGAGAAAGAAAGAAGAAGAAATCGTAAGTTTTAAAAACTTTTCTTTTTTACGGAATAAAATAAATTCGATTTCCATGGGAGAATATATTCTAGAGAAATTTCATACGTTTAATTCGCAAAAGTCTCAAACTGTATTATTGCGAAATTAATATCGCGGAGATATTACATTAAGACGCTTAACAGAAAATGAGCATGCCATTTATATCACGGTTGATGTGTAATTATGGAATACGGTTAAGATAGGAATAATTGTTAACAAGCCAGATGAAAGATAATATACGAGAACTTTAATGGACTATAATTAAATGCATTTTTTGCTTTAACTCGAAGACTTTGTACAACGTGATTTTCAAATCTAATCATCGAAGGAAATTATTAAATTTGCTGTAATAAAATCGAATATTACGATGCCCTTGCTACTTTTAATTAAAATTATTATTAATTAATAATAATTTTGTAAATATATATTAATAATATTATTATTATCTTACGATTAAATACTTTAAGAGTTTACCGATATTTTTATCCCTTTTCGAATTTATCTTTCCCTAAGTGGAGGATCTCGAAAATGGTTTACCTTATTAAAAATTAAAACGGGTACGAAACGAAAAATGAAATATATCTTCCAAAATGCTTTAATGATCGTGATATACAGAGTTCCAGATTAAAAACCTGAAATAATACCCTACAAGAAAAATTTTAAATGAAAATTTCAATTTGCGTTAAATCAAATATTTTTATATATTAACTGTTTTGCATTTATTTCGAACTCTGGAATATACTTTTTACAGAATAATATTTGAAATACGAATAATAATATTTTAATCGCGTGATTAGAATTTTTAAATCTAACATACCGTGATACATCTATGCAAAGCAAATTCAGACGGAGGCAGAGAAATTTGAATACGATTAACGAAGCCCGAAGACAGCCCTTGAGCACGAATTCTGCGAAGACTTGTCTTATCTCAAACTGTTTGAAGTTAATCGGTGGATGCTCGGAATAAAGTTCATTCACGTTCAAAGGAGGCAACAATATTGGTATTAGCAGATTAATTTTCGAAATTACAAGTTAAAATTTATCAACATAACCGATTCTAATAAAAATAATTTGATTGGGTCAAACTGTAATAAAAAAGCTTTTAAGAGGTAAACGATAGAACCTCTTTTTTTATTAAACGAATTAACCTACATCTACCTAATCGTATCTAAGATTATTTTATTATCCAGAAAATTTGTACGATAAATAATACTTTTAAATACTTTTAATAAATACAGTTGAATGTCTTTCGTATCAATTACTCATTATTTTTTTACGTTAATTTTTACGATATAATTCATTTCGTCATTCTGAAACATCGATTAATCCGATATAATACATTCCTCGAATATAATTATCAAAAACGACGAACGAAATAAACCTGAGTACAACGAAAAAATCAAATATAAAAGATACAAATGTTATTAATCACAGTTTTATCGGGTATCCAAGCGTGAAATAAATTAGATGGAATAAATGATGGAAAATTTGAGGACGGAAGGAAATGTATGTATAATAAGGAGAAAATATTGTTAAGCTATAAGAGCATAAACAAAGGGGATGAAAAACAAGAAGAGAGACGGTGTGTGTGTGTATGTATATATATATATATAGTTACGTGTCTTCGATACGTGAAATTTTCGTGATGGCATATCCTATTACGTGATAAATATGATTACGTTCTAAATAGTACCATGAGAAACTATCATACTGGTTCGTTAACGGAGGATGGATATAACTCTCTTTGTTCTCTGACAACAATCCTTTTTTTAAGATTAATTTTTATTCCAGAGAAAAATGCTCGGAATCCCTCCTAAATAATAGAGTTGCTCAAATGGCGAAACTGTGAAAGAGATAATTTCACTATTAAAGGTATGTCGAAATTAGAGGATAAATTTTTTTTTACACGAAATTCTTTTTTTTATAGCTATTCTTTGGTTTTGGCGTAGAATTGTATTCGGCGTGATTTATTAAATTTTACTTCGTCGAATAATTTTCGAGAAAATTGAATAATTTCGTTTGATGAAAATCTGTAACGAAACATTCATTGTATATAGAATTATAAAATGAATTATGGAAATATTAATACAATATGAGAAATAAAAAGATATATTTTTCGAAATCTCGTTTCGCTCCAATCTTTTATACGTAATTATCGAATTAAGAACGGAAGAACTACGAGGGGAATGAATTGATTTTCTATAAAAAAATTTTGATAATTAAAATTTCTCATGAATCAAATTTTAACAATTTGAAAATTAAGTTAGCAGCGAGCTTTCCACCTACATTAAAAATCATTTTCGTTTAACGTCCCTTTCCTACAACATCCTGCTATTCTATTCGTGAGAATGAAGGATGAACGCCATTTTAACGCAATTTTCTCCACATTGAAAGTCAAGATCCGATTAAGCGACGCGAGGGATATCGAAGCTCGAAGAGGCGGACTGGTGAGATCGATATCAGGCATCGAAAACTCGGAATGCTTAAGTAAGGAGCTCATTTACGTCAGTGGAGAGCCGATGGGGCTGAAATATGCGACCTTGGCCAAGGGGAGGATGGCTGATTCCTCGCACTGATTAAGCGCATGCAAAACCACCCCTTCTGCGGAAGGCCGTATATATATCGCGTTTGATGCATTTCAACGTTGTGGAAAAATAGTTGGTTGATAATTATTTTTAGCAACCGATAATACAATCCTAGCGATCTTACTATATTTGGACAATTTTCTTCTAAAGATATTTCTTTCAAATGGGGAAAAATAAATCGAAGCAAATAAATGAATAAAGGATAATATTCAGATTCATTTCCTTTTTAAAATAAAATAACTTCGCTAATTATAGCGTTTACTTATACGAGTATCTATAAGTATATATTGTTGTTTTATATAGGGTGTTGCGTTATTCACGGGCAAGAAAAATTTTCAAGTAAAAGTGAAATTGGCTAATTTCTAATCTCGTTCTATCTCCTTATAACTCGATAAATAAATCTCGACATTTTTGCATCGGTTTCTAAAATCGAAATGTCCCACGAATATTAATACCCTATCGATTCGTACGACTGTCACTAATACGTAATCCTTCGAATTATAAAAAGAAAAAAGAAAGATGGAAGAGAAAAAAATTCATCCAAGAAATATTTTATCGCGACAAGAATCACCCAAAAAGCGCACGAGGTTCGTCCCAGTTTTCCATTTATCTCTCGTTTAGGCACGGTTGACAACTGCGGAATGGAGCGCGGTTCATTAAGATTCTCGTGGCGCGTTTAGTTATTTTTCACACGGTAAAAGGATTACAAATCCAACAGGGACGATTTCTCTTGTTCTCCGCCTCTTTCGTTCGTTTATTGCGTTACGCTCGAATACGACTTGACAAGATGCGGCAACAATAAGAATCGAGTTTGTTTCTATGCGATTGGAATGTCTCGCGTGTTACGATAGAATTTTCGCTGATTCGATCTCTTATTTACAGATCGGCCAACTGCGAATAAAACTATATATAATCGCGGAAAGAACACGATTTTCCACGCGATGATCAACGAGGGGAAGAACGATAAGGAAGAAAGAAGAAGGATGAATATGTAATCAACAATGAATCGAGTGGCATGATTGGGAGCTAACAGAATGGGGAGGGAAATGATGCAATTGAGAGAGGCTAAGGGTTGATTGGCGATTGTTGCCAGTCTAAAATTGAAATTTATGTATTTATTTTTCAAGTAGATTATAAATGTATTGAAGCGAAGAATAAAAGGATATTTATAAATAATTATTGTTTAAATACATCGAATATGAACCAAGGATTGAGAGTTATTGAATATTGAAATACATCTCGCGAAGGAATAAACTAGTTTTTTTTAAATTATTATCTATCATTTATTTTTATAAGAAAGATTTCTTCTCCTTTCTTTTTTCCTACTCCCATTAATTTCTCAAAGTCATTAGCGTATTTGGAAACATTTTTAATTTATATTTTCATCGACTTTGTAATTATATATTTTCTATTTAGATTACTAATATATTCATGCTTTGAAAAATCCTATATATAAAAACATCTATGCAATTTTATTACTAATCGAATAATCTAATTGTCTCTTTAATTTCTGTGCATATTTATTGTGCTTTATATTTTTAGAATTCATCAAAATCTCTATCGATCTGAACAGTCTGCGAAACTTCTGATTGCTTTATTTGTAAATATACGCGTAATTTACGTATGTAAATTTCAACGAAACGAATATTTTTACAGATTCTGATAACAAATCAAAATTTTAAAAAATTTCATCACTTTACGGCTTTCTCTTACTTTCCTCGTAAATTTTTTTAATTCTAAAATGAAAAAATTAAATATTCGCGAATAATTGCTATCTCGAATTTCTTCAAGATATTTGAAAACTTATTTCGACATTTTTGTATATTTTATTCGTCGAAATGTAAGAAACTATTTCAGAAATTCGTGTCAGAAAGACAGAATGCAAGTCTCGATAGAAATTTATTATAGAATTATATTAAAAACAAGTGGCAGACTTAATAACGAAAAATTTGGATAAAAATTTAAAAATAATTATTTATATTATATAATATAAATTCATTTCGATTGATTTTATTTTGTTTATTTGTTTATCTAATAAAGGATTGAAAGAAAGAATTGAAAGAATTTGAGAGAAAATATTTGAAAGGCTAATAAATACAAAAATTTTTATTCGAGGAGGTAATGTTTAGTTTTTAATTGAAAATTTGATCGTAAAACAATATTCGGAATCAATGCACAATAACTTTAATAATAAATTTTTGTAGAAAAAATATAATAATATTAATCAGAAAAAAAAAATAAAAAGTAATTTATTTTGCATTCATCGCGTCTCTTTCTTTTTTGTTAGAGATTTTGTTTGAATTTTATATTCTAATCTTTATATATATTATATACGATAAT